TTTGAATAATAAATTCTTAAATATACATTATACACCATTCTCATTTTCATGTATCCTTTCCATAATAAACTCTTTAGGAGTTTAAAGAAAATTTTTCAAAGTGCAAAGGTTGATTATACTGCGGTTGTTTTTTTTACAGTGCACACCTCACACTTTCTACAACAATATTTTACATTGCGCAAAATCTGACGGTCTCGATTGAGTTGATCGGCTCATGGCTTAGTAAGTGGAGCGACTAATATGCAGAATTCAATGATAAGGCTTAAAATTGAAATAGTTCACCGCTGCTATTTTACTTAGGAAAGCATATAAAAACCTAATGTTTTAGATATGTGCCTACCTCGAGTAGATCTTCTCACTGCCAATAAATATGGATGATCGTGGATGATCATAGGTTGTGGAAAACATATTGTGGATTGGAAATTACTCTTATATTTCAACCATTTTGGATGATCTTGAGTGTTCGTAGAATCAGCTCGCCGAGCTTCATTTATTCATGGTATCTATTCGTGATCTGAGAATGATCGAGAGTGCTCGCCTCTTCTACAAACATCCGATCATGCATGTACAGGTAGTCCAAAAACTATCCGGACACCTATGTATTTTTTCGGATTTCTTGATTTGCAAAAAAGAAACAAGAAATATTATTTTTCTTTTGTCGTCAACAGATAGTCCCTACTTTATACTAGATGCTTTGTAAAAATACACAATTTTGATTATCATTTCGGCTTACGGGAAGCTCTCTCATGAAAATGTCTGATTGTTTTAAGTACGCCCAGAGCAAGACTCCTTTATTTTTAATACAAAAGTGCTCACGCTTTCGACATCAAAATTTTATCATATGTACAGCAGTAGAACGAGCAAAGTGAATTCTATTGGTTGACATGGTTTTGAAGGGAAAAAAAAGCTTTCATTTGCCCTGCAATAACTTTTCTATGAAGGCAATTATGCATTCTTTCACCGACTGCATATTATAGCGGTATTCGAATATCAGACTTTTCTTCTAACTTTTTTAGCAGTAAAATCTTTTAAATGAGCTGCTTTTAAACAGCTTTTGATGCGCTCTCTGACGATATATTTCGGGAGTAGTTTGAAAAAAAAACATGGTTATGTTCCGCATGTGTCATAGTATTAAGCGTGCTCAAGAGAACGATTCTCTTTCCAAATAGTTTACATTAGGAAAGTTATTTTTTTCCTTCACAATCATGTCAACGAATAGAGTTCGCTTTGCTCGTTCTACTGCTGTACATATGATAAAATTTCGATGTCGAAAACATGAGCACTTTTGTATTAAAAGTAAAAGAGTCTTGCTCTGGACGTACTAAAAACAATCAGACATTTTCATGAGAGAGCTTCCAGTAAGCCGAAATGATAATCAAAATTGTGTATTTTTACAAAGCATCCAGTATAAAGTAGGGACTATCTGCTGACGAAAAAAGAAAAATAATATTTCTTGTTTCTTTTTTGCAAATCAAAAAATCCGAAAAAATACATAGGTGTTTGGTTACTTTTTGGACACGTGTATGTACTATTTGCTTTTCTCTCTGTAAGTAAACGTTGGATATATTGATTTATATTTTTTGTCGAAATTAACGATTTTATGAATGATTATTTAAAATTTTAAATCAATATATATATCGTAATTCTAATATGTACTATAAATATGAATATTTTATAAAATCAATAACTCTGTTTTTCCAGGATTTTTTGAGATCATAATTTCGTATCATCTTCTACATGAGCGCAGCTATATCTAAGAAAAAATTCGGCTTTTTTCAACTTGTATTGTGTGACATAGCAAATGTTTAATTATAAGATAGTTCGTATATCTATAAAAGTAAAAACGCTTGATCTTCTCAGAAAGAAGCCATGGCCACGAACGCTTTTTCTAGTAAAAATAGTTTATCAAAGTCTACGAGACGTACTAAGTGCAGACTCGAAAGCGTCCTAACAGTTGGTAATGTTCCCTCGTGAGTACCAATACTTTCATGGTCTATAGCTTCAGGACAGCTCATCTATTTGAGCTCCATTTTCCGTTTCTTTCTAGTTTTACCAGATCTATCTACTATAAAAATATAAACCAAACCGGTTAGATCGATTTGACAACGTTGTTGGTCGTAGCTTATATGCATGATGATGAGACTTAATACAGAGCGCAAAGAATAAATTTATTATGATAAATATAAAAATCTTGATTGAACACTGTTCGTAAATCAATAGACTATTGTAGTACTATCTAATATCGGGACTTCTATGTTAGAGTGTCTTTTATTCCTATAGCAGCATTGATTTGTTCTCGTACCATGGGAATGCATTTGACACGTTTTATGTAATTGTTAATAATCATTAAATTGTTATTCACATGTTTTTGAAGCATGTCACTCATGGTTCTTTCACGGTCACGTTTCAGTTTGAGAAGTTCCTTATGCAATTCTCGATTCAACTTGTGATCACGTTTATTGTCACAAATGTAACTCTCATCATCAATCATTCGACTGAGACTAACTAAGAATGGATCGTTGTTACAGTGATGAGCAATGTGGATGAGGAAATGAGCGAAATAGACGCTTGCAGAAAAAATTTCTGCATATAAAGTGACCAACCCAGTCGATTGATGGTTCATTCTTTCGACTAACTCGTAATCAAGTTTATAATCGATGGGAACGTGTTGTCTTTGATCGCATGAACAACATTCACATTGATCCCGGTATTCATGCAAAGAATTACGAATCATCCAAAACCGACCACATTGCCAAATGAGACGCTCGCATGAGTAGCATATAGCGAAAGGTCGTTGAATAGGTTTCGGACGAAGCTCGACCCATTGCTTGGAGAATTCTAACTTGGATAAAATCTGATTTCGAAGAATATTTCTCATTGTTTCCATTATCGGACGGATCATCTGTAGAATTTCGGTTCGTACAATTTCTGCTCTTTGTAATCCTTCATGTAGAAGAAAAGGACGATCAGTTTGATGAATATACTCCAGCAGTAGATCTACTCCTTTCTTTGAAATCAACCAGCTATCTTCACATATCTGTTTATGAAGCTTGAACCAACGTGCTGTAGTCAATTGTAGAAAGAAAGTACTATCAAAGAAAAATATACCGTCGGGTTTCCAATAGATATCGTCAAGCGAGAGCGACTCACATTGTTGTTGACTTCGAGTATGGCTTTCATTGTCATTATTAGCGTTGGAAAGCTGTTTCGTGAAACAAAAGATAACGTTGTGTTGCGCTTGTGGCCCAAGAAAATTAAGCAATTGTGCCAAACGCTGCTTATAGACAGTGAGCTTCGAGTTGCCCGACTCTATCACAAAACATACGGCATTCAAATGAGTTAGATTGGAGATGTATGATAGTATGTGCTGCATCGTCATTTCATCTTGAGCTTGATCATGTAAATCAGAAAAACCAGGCGTATCAATGATACATAACTTTTGTCCATTTCCGATGTCGAATATATGCGATTTACAACGCTGAGTTATGGATTGACCAGGATGATCATAATCTTCATTAGGATCATTATTACCAATTCGAATGAAATGATGTTCTTCATCATTTCTTCGCGAAACGATAAACGAGACTATCACATTTTTCAGGACCGATTTAAGCGACTGAAGTTCTGAAAATGTTCTGAACTTTAAACAGTTGGCGATTGTGTTAATTAATGTCGATTTGCCGACTGCTGCTCTACCTACAAGAATAATATTGATCATATGATTAGTAGAATGCACGGCTTGATGAGCATCGGATATTTTCGTCGGCAATGTTAAAGAATCGTGTACATCAGCAGTTGGATTATTGTTCGTTGAAGGAAATGTTGTTATTATATTTAGTTCGTATGAACATTCGGAGAAATCGACATAAACTAGATTCAAATCGGGGTTTTTTGTGTGCTCATTAGCCATTTCTGTAATTATATGTTGCAATTGTGACCATTGCATTGCATTTAAAGTATCGTTAGAACATAGAATTCGTTGCTGCTGATGCTTATATTTGATTAACTTGCGTTCGATCACGTCTTGATCGTCGCCATTCTCTATATTATGTTTGGCAGCATTCCAATAATTAAATCCTCGGCTTTTTAGATATTTGATAAAATTATGTTTTTCTTCTAAAGTTCTCATATCATGCTTCAAATTATCAATAATGGGTTTCAACTTCATTTGTTTTTCCTCAATCCGTAGGTGATGTTCGATAGCTTCTGATAGCTCTTTACCTTGACGAATATCAATAATCAAATCTTGACCTTGTTTCTTTTCCTCATCGTATTGATTCAATAATATTGAAACTGTTCTCTGTACCGAATTGAATTGTTTTATTAAATCAGTTTGGCAAGTATCAGATATGATATTGTCTCGAAATGTTGCCCATATTTTTGTGAAAGCGAGTAACCGAAGCCAATGGTCTTCAAGTGTTGTTGTGATTCTCAGTTCGATCGGAATAAATATAGTATTCTGTTGATTTTGATCAGGATAAAACATGCTAATAGGATGAAGAATATAGTTACATGGCTGATGCTCAGCAGGAATATGTTTAATTCTGAAGATTTCTTTAGACACATCAGCTATTGTCATCTGTTTGTTTAAATGAGGCAAGTTCGAATACACGTATGTAGATAGAATTCCACTCAGTGCATTTTCATTAATAATTAATTCCTTGTCATGTTCCAAGCAGTGACATATTTGATTGAGGCTGTCATCGATCGTCTTTAGATCATCAAGCGGTAATCTCAATAGAACCACAACGTCGATACCCGAATCGATTGCCGTAATAATGTGAGTAGCAGGTACTCTAAATTCTTCTTGTGGAATGCTTATTTCATTAACTAAAGCTTCATTTCGAATCAGGTAGGAATAGTAGAAGATACGAGTACATTCATCGATTTCATATGGATAATTGACGATTGAAGCAATACCTTTCGGTGTAACCAAGTTTGATAACACACTCAATCGCAGGTCGGCGGAAATATCAATGAGTCGAAGAACATTTCGATTTTCAAGCTTGTCCCCACTTTGTATCATACATTTTATCGGTAAGCTCGAGTAATCTTTCTTCACATTAAATTTGATACACGATAATTCTAGAATATGATCTCGCCATCCATCATACAAATGTCCTATACGACCGGAAGGATTAATTGCCTTGCGTACTATTGTGTTCGACGATATATCTCGACCTAATGATGTTTTAAGGCTAATACACGAGTTTTGCGTCCAGTAAATAGATACACTTGCTTTTGAATTCAGCGACATGCCATTAGAAGAATTAATGAGTTCACTTGTATACGGCATTGTCTGATTTCGAAACCATTTTTCTCCTTCGTAGGCAATCCAACTGCTCACACATCCAATGAAGTCTTTGGCATAGATACATTCCACCCATTTTTCAGGCAACTTATTGTAACCGTAGTGAGCACCGGCTAATTGACCGTAGATAGCGGCTGTTGTATCTGTATCATCACCCAGATTAACTGCATTGAGTACCCCTTTCTCGAACGAGCCCTCATCACTCCAAAAGGCCCATAAAGCAGCTTCAAGAGCATTGACAATATATCCTTTCCCTCGAATTCCATCTTGATATCCACCTGGTCTTTGGTACGATCCTTGAGCGATCGCCATGATTTCAGAATGAAGGATTCGATCCCCAAACCACTCTAGATGGTCATCGTAAAATGTTTTACTCGTCAGTTCATTTTTTTGTGCACCACTCATGGCAGCTACGATGAGAGCTCCATAATAACGACAAGCATCATAAACTTTGTCATCTCCATGGGTGATTTGGCCACTAATGCCCGAATAGTGAACAGCCATTGCCGGATGTCGAAAGAAGAAGATCGGTACAGGTGCGAGACGCATCAGGGCCCCATTACCTGCCATTCCTTCATGACTGCATTGGACGTCGAACGCTTGAAGGAGATCACGATTAGACAAATGGTCTATTTGATCTAGAGGAATGCCATGATCATGTGCATATTTTCTTTGACGCGTTTCAAATTCTTGGATAGACTGTCTGGTAGCCTCACCAATGTCGAAACAATGACCAGTCGATGACATGTAGCCATGTCGATACCACCACTTGTAGCGAACCAATTGATCGTATGGAACAAAGTCTTGAAAAGCAATTAGTGAGGTGGCTAAGCAAAGCGCCATGGTTGCATCATCAGTGAACTAGAAAAGTGAGCCGCTATGCATGCTATATTGTCGAAGATCCTACCTGCCCTTGTTGTAGACCCCATGTTCCTCCTCCTACAAGGTCCCGGACTGGATTAGCAACTAAATAACTGTGAGGTCTGAATTCAACATGAGCACCAAGAGCATCACCCACGACCAAACCAAACATTGAGCCTTGAATACGATCCACCAGATCATCGCTGATAGATGATAACGGAGCATGATCTTTCTGGCTGATTCCAAAGTCATCAGGTTTCTTAATAATGGTTTGATCAATATCCTGAAACTGGCAATTGAGCCAAGATTTCTCTAATGTGAGAAAAGTATTTGTATTTTAAATGTTTGACAAAACTCATTGAATCAAGTCTTTCAATTTAAGATTTCAAATACTAGGACACTTGTTTATGTGCATGCAAAAGATCATCAACGCTTACCTTTTTTCTCTTCCTGTTCGGAAAACGTTGTCGGTGCCATTTCCTTCTTCACAAATAAATGACAAAATGAATTTTCTGAAGCAAACTCTATTCAATATTCGAATACAATTAAATGATTTGAGTGCAAGATAACAGGAGAATTTGAGTATAGGTGTACGTGAACAGAAGGCAAACATTCACATTCATATTCACTCTCTCTATCCTTACACTCAACTTTCTTACTGTTCTGAACTCTATAGATCTACGAATATCAAGTTAGGTATGTGCCTTGTTACACAAGAGCCACTTAGGATCGTTAAATTAACGATATATGATAATCTCAAACGTATTACATGAATATACAGTATTGGCTATGTTTAGAATCTCGATACTCGTGTGATGGATATTATGGCATCCCTCTTACCAGTAAAAATAGTTAATAATAACTTTTCACAGCCAGTAACGCCTATAATACAGAGAAGAAGGTGATACTTTATTTAAATAGGATGTTCCATAAGTCCTTAGCCAAATAAAAATTTGAATGTTTTCACTAGGCTTTAATGGAATGAGCTGGTTTTTTTCTCAAAGTAGAAGATAGTTTCTAGCTATTATTCACAGATGAATAGTATATTTATGCATATACTACTACGTAGCACGTCTATATCGCTAAACAGCTTGGATAAAGATTTATTTACTGTCGTAAATACTTCTATTGTTGTGGTTTTATGTTAAAAACTGAATTACACACTACAGTGCTGAACAAAAGTTTAGAAGTTTTTTGGTTTTGCAATATTCATTTTCTTTATGAAATAACTCGACTTCCTTAGTAGCTAGGAACCTCATCTTTTCACCAAAATGAAGCTCGTGATGAGTACTATAGCCTTCGAGAAAATGGTATTGTTTCGACCTTATTTGACAAAGTTAGTTCGAAAAGAATGTTTTTTCTAAAAAATCAGAAAAACCACCTCTTCATTATTTCGCTTTTCCTAACCAAGAGATTTTCGCCAAAAAACCCTGATACTGTTGCTTTGATAGAGAATTTCAAGAACTATCCATTGCTAAAATAGTTTTCAACTTTTGATCCTATTTTCACTGACAAAACATTGTTTTAGTGAGAACCATTCGAAAACTGAAAGACGTCAATTTTCACCGTTAAACTAAACTTTACTCAAATGTATTATATACTAAAAGAAAGAGCGCGAAAAACTGCATAAGATGATTTATTTCTAACGTGAGATGCATCGAAATGCCAGATAAGTTTTCCAAAAGATATTGCAGAGGTAAAAAGAGTCCTAAACTTTTGTCCAACATTGTACAATTATGGAACTTAAAGAAAGAATTGAAGAAGCCTGCGAACAAGTGACGGAAAAAATGTATTGTAAATTATGTCACTTTGTTGTGCAACGTTGTCGTGATTGCTTGAACAACGAGGATCAATTTCTTTGATATTGACGTTGTTGTAGAATACACCAGCTGTGCTGATGTACAAGTAAATACAAGAATATCCTACAATTTTGGTCAATAGCTCTGAGTAAAAAACGTTTGTGTTATTTAATAACATAGTGAATGAAAGTGTGTTAGATTTATGTGCATAATATATACTACTCATTCATGAATAAAAACTAGAACCTGTCTTGTACTTTGTGAAAAGAAAATTAGTGCATTCCATTGAAATCTAGTGAAAATATTCAAAATTTTCTTTGTCTAAGGACTTACGGAACATACTATGTAATGAGGAAAATGCATCCTTTCCAATTAACAAGCCGAGATAACTGTCGTAGATTCGTCACAAAACAATGGCAGTCCTTATCAAGAAAATTTACTGTTTTCACACCATTTATGTTTGCAGTCGATTTACTGTTGTGTGCGTTACATGTCGATTAAGTGTTCGTCGTTTAATTATTGTCATGTATTACTTACCACTATTTGTATACAAAATGCAATGAAGAAAAATGCAGATGCACCACTTTCAATTTTATTTTTTATATTTTTTACACGTGAAAACGGATGCTTTTTTTTATTATGACTGTCGAACTCTTATCTGTTGCTATTGCGAAAGAATACTTCTTTTTACCATGTTTTCTTTTTCTTCCTCCTGGTTTGTTTTTTACGAATCTATACATTATCTGGAAGAACGTCTCATGATAAGAGAAAACTATTCAGTTAAAAAAGAAGTCGAACACCAAATTGCATTAAAGTACCAAATGATAAGCTCAAATAAGCTAGAGATTTATTTTATAGATAATAAGAAAAATTATTTCGAAACATTTATTGAGTATGTCTGTTAATGCATTGAACACAATGACAGATGAGCAATTTTCTATTGTGGGTGCGGGTGTCGATTAAGAGATAATTAATATATACACCCACCCTAAATGCATCAGAACATCATAATATTGTTTACGCTTAATAATTGATTGTAGTAAACGACTAAAACTATTGTCAGATGCAACAATTGTTGATATGCATAGAATACTAGTTGTAATTATTATCCAATTAAAATTAGTCATTAATATAAAAATTGAAGTATGAAGTTCGTACTAATAGCCATATTTGTTTTGCTGATAAAATGTATGTAAAAGGTGTAAAAGTGCTCTGTCATTAAAAAGAATTGAACTGGCACACGAAAAGTTTACTTTCTCTTCGGTCACGTTATCAGTCAAACTAGAGAGGAGAAAAACGGGTACTGCACCATAGACAAGTAAATTGAATAGATGATTCATTGGATCTTTTTACTGTATCAGTTGCTGGGGATCTTTAAACAATGCCTCAAAGCGATGCTTGGGTGGTATTCATAAAAAGTGATATTTTAAATGATGAAATGGACATTTTCAATGACATTTGAATACATGAATGTTTATTTTCTTTTCGTCATCCGAAATTTTGTTCTTTTCGTGTTTTTGATATTAAAGTCGTGACATTTTTCTTCAACTTTTTACCATCATTAGATATGTATCGTGAACCTAATGCTTGATAAATCTCTCTACATACGTATGTACATAGTTTTATAAATAATGCTTTCGATTGAGAAGAATATATTAAATAACAACAACAAGCGAACTCATAGTAAACAATTAAAGATGCTGATGACAAAATAAGTTATTATATACAATGAGTAAAATTCTAGCGATGCTCAGCTTACTGTCGAATATGTTGCTTTTACTAAACAAAATTCAGATTTTACCATCAACATAAATTCCGTTTATATGTATTTCATGATCAATGGTTAACTACTCGAAAGAGACGCTTGCTTGCCCATTACCTTTCATTAGTCTTCATCATCGTCTACATGAATAGCTTTTACATTGTGGGTATTTTCTTTACACTTTGTGTGATGCAGCTGTACACAGCTGGCTGACTACTGCGATCATTATTGTGTTTATTATTGGTTTATTAAGTCGTCTTGTATTACAAAAGCGTCGTTGTCGTCGTCAAGTCACACAATAGAGTAAGCATCAGACATTAACATTATAATTATTGTCAATAACATCAATTTTCATCATTGTTAACTTACCGATTGCGATAATAAGTATTATTTACCTGTTAAATTTACAAGTCGATATCGACATTAAGTGATGCTTTATTTTGAATTTATAACTTACTGAATGATTCTTCTTTTACCTTTCGTCTGTTTCAACTTCTTACCAAATCTGAAACAGAGACCTCCTTAAGATAATGAAATCTCAAAGAAAAAAAAGGGAAATATTGATTTCATCATATTTTCATTAGCTCGTTGGTTTGATTTGACCCAAGTATTCTTAACGATCAATTTCAATATCATGGCTTCAGCAAACAAAAACTGCATTACCTCTTCGTTAAAAGCTTCGCTTACATTTCAGTGTTTATATATTCTATTACTTCTGTTGCATTGACTCGTTGATGAAACTTCATTACTCATTAACTGTCATAGACTGCAGCACATTCGATAACGTGTTAATCATCTTTTTTTTCTTTCTGCAATGATCAAAGTGGTTCCTCGCTAATCGAAACGACAAGTTACCAATCAATTCTTCAATGGAAAAAATTCAAAATAACAATGTGCGCTATGAATATATATCTGTGAAGTTTATGGCATTTTGAAATTTCTTCTATCGAAAATCAAACATCTCGCTAGCAATTATCATTGTTTGTTGTTTAATGAATAATATTGCTCTGATAAACATGGTGTGGAGTTTACTTTACAATTGAATTGGCTCTATCGCCTTTTATATCTGAATCAAGCTTGAA